GTGTCCAATCACTGCTGCAGGTGTGTCTGACTTCGTGTTTTTGCATGACACAGGCTTGCAAACATCAAGTCCACAATGCCCTTTTTTTTTTTTTTTTTTTTTTTTTTGGGAACACAATGCCCTTTTCAGCACAAGTCTGATCGGCAACAACAGAGTTCCATTTACTTCCCCATCGCTTACCTTTCTTCTCTCATTAGGTAGCGGACAGGAGCTGTGCTCCTTTCGAAGCTGTGCTCCTGTTTGTCCAGTTAACGCAAAACCTGTCAATCAAGCAAAATTCAGAACCAGGCGACCAAGGCGTTAAAACAAAAAACAAAAAAAACAAAAAAAAAAAAACAAGCGTTTCAGACTGGAATGTTCGCAACTTCGCACGCAACTCGTCTCAACGACTTTTTTTATCACGCATTACTCAACAATTAAACAAATAAATAAAATAAAAGGGGATCGCTAAAAACATCTCCGTAAAAAAAAAAAAAAAAAAAAAAATCTCCGTGCGTGTCTGCGCGTCTTCTGTGTCGATTTGTGACTGTATGTGTGCGTGTTGTGATGCCTGTTGTGTGGAGTGTACGCGTGCGTGAGTGTGGCCGAGCGGGCACAGCAAGTCAATAAGCACGAAAGCCGCACTTCTCTGGCTTGCACGTACCTGTGCGCTTTGTCAGGCCAGGTGCCGACGGAAGCTCCCTGCTTTCCTGATGTCAAGTGAGCGCTTCGCAACGTCAGCCAAGCAGTGCACTGAGTGGTGCATTAATTCTGCCGAGAGAGTTTGTACGGCCACAACCAGCTGTAAATGGGTGAAAGCCTACATAGTAGGCTACATTCTTCCCTCGAATACAACGTACGGTCATTATAGCCGTATCTAGACTGAAAGATGCCCCGAATACGGGTATAATGACCGTACGTTGTATTCGGGGGAAGAAGGTAGCGAGAGAGTTTGTACGGCCACAAGTTCCACAACCAGCTGAGAACAGAACAATCGAAAACCCACCGCCTAGAAACTCCCTGAGCCGCAAGAGAGTTTAAAAATGCCCTATTTTTTGTGCTGTGACCGGTCCTTCAGTAGTCTCTCCACTGAGCCGCACGGATGTGCTTGGATCGGTGTGGCCTATGACCATTCCGCGGGCTGATCGCAGAGAGCCAAAATACATAGAACTGCAAACAAAATAATGATCAGAATCGAAACCCCAATCACGTATTTGAAACCTGTCCC